TAGAAAGCCAGGGTAAAAATTTGATGACAAATGATTTAGTTAGCTTCAGCCGCCATATTTGAGCCCCTCAGAGGAACACAAACATGGCATCTCCATACAAAACCTTATGAAATTGAGTAAAACATTTTTTGAATATCTCCTGCAAGAAACATTCCAGTGACTTAATCTTTACGAGACTGTTTGAATATTCATTTTCTTTTACCTCCTTGGATCTTGACTGTATTTGTTGAATGGGTTTGATGATGGTATTACAGTTAAAACCAGTAACATTTACCTTGTATTCAAGTCTACTTCAATAAGCTTAAGATAATACTGAAATTCATTTTGGAATTTCAGATGCAAATAAGACCAAGTTACTGAGGTGAGCATTACAATCTTACAATTACAACTGCATATTTTATACTATTAGCATTCAATTTGTTTATTTCCATTTGGAGTTACAGGGCTAATATATTTTAGCTAATATATTTTGGTTTATTGGTTTGAGTGAATTCATTTAACCTGGATGAGTAGCTCATTAACTGTTAATATTTAGAGAAATTTTCATTTTCTGTGAAAGAAGAGGGTAACCAAGGGTTAGTGGTGTTCTGAAAACGCTCAGCATCTTTTAGTGATGGTCTACCACATACACTGTGTGCATATCTTGTATGGGTTTTGAGCTAATCATATACAGTATCTGTGCTGATTTTGTACCGCAGAAACTCCTCTTCTTCTGCCATGGCATGTGCTCATCAGTCAAAACGTCTCTCATACTTTAGAGTCAAAACATTGTGCATGTGTGTTAAGGACTTGACTGCGATTTGCGACCGAACGAAAAAAAAAAACAAAAAAAGCCGACATTTCAACTTAGGCATTTCCCTTGAAAAGCCCGAGGAAAAATTTGATGACATGTGATTTTGTTGGCTTCTGGCCACCCTATTAATGTGCCCTCAGAGGGACACAAACATGGTGTGTCTATAGAAAACTTTATAAATTTGAGTAATACATTTCTTCGATTATCTCCCGCAGGAAATAATACAGAAACTTGATCTTTACAAGACTGTTTGAATATTGATTTTCTTTTATCTCTTTGGTTCTTCACTATATTTAATGAATGGTTTTGATGATGGCATTATATTTAAAACCAATAATATTTGCCATGTCTTCAAGTCTGCTTCAACAAGCTTAAGATAATTAAAATCATACTGGCATTTCAGATTCAAATAAGACCAAGTTGCTGAGGTCAGCATAACAATCTTATAATTGCAAAAATATCGACCTGCTTGATATTTCTAAGAGTATAGGACAAAAATATGAAGAATCTTACCGAAAATTGCTTCGATCTACCGGTCAGTTCTAGTCGGGTAGAATCGATTCAATTCGTATGTCTAGACTGTTTTTCATGATTGAATATTCCCAGAAACAATGTTGAAAGATCAACATAACATATAAATCTAGCCATTAAAAACGATAATTGCAAAAATCAGAATGCAGAATCAAGAGTACAACTTATTGTCAGATATTCGGGAGCTTTGGAATCTATAAACCTTCCTTTTTTCATTTTCAAAGAGTTAAATCGAGAGTAATTCTTCCGCAGATATAAATTATTCAGCAACAGAGGAAACATGTTTCGTTTGAGAGTTTTCATGTAAATCTCAGAACTCTAACTAGTCAAACTTACATGCAGTAATCATTCAATGAGGCTTTAGAAAAGCTCTTACCTGCTGCACGGTGGAAAGAAAACTAGTTCAATAAGGCGAAACCAAGATGCTTTACACTTACTTTCGCTTCTGGGTCCTTCCAGGTGAGGTGACAGATTCAGAGGCGTGAGATTGGCAGCAATGTTTGGACACGAAAGTGAGGCTAAGGAACCCTCCTAAGTTATGACGTAATGAACGTAGTGCGCATCGCCTTATCGGTCAATTCATCAGGTTCCAAGCTGATGCTTTATCACGATATGGAACTCACATGTAACTTGTTATGTCATAAAAGCTATTCACGGCGGAAGCAACGATAGTAATATAATGATAGAGATTATAAACTGAAAGAACTAATCCCCTTGACCCATTATATTTCAATTTGATTTAGGTCTACTTTAAATTTCGCAACACGTTGGTTTATAATCTCTTCATAAGATTAAAATATGATAAAATCTGAAATCAACAAGTGCAGGTGCGGTTCCAGCAAACGGTACCATGGAAACACTTAAAGCAAGTGATTGAAGTCCACCCTTATCCTTCAGCTCTCTTTCGCAGAATTTTCGCTCATAAACAAGAGAATTTTAGCCAATGTCCCATCTCAAAGGTGCGTAATGTCTGAACAGCCATCAGTTTATTTCAAATCTGTAAATTCTCATTAGCGAGTGACTAGAACCGTTATCACCGATGAATCATATTTAGATTTATCACATGACCCGTCCGGCCCCGCTCGTGCAATCTAACAGAGAACCATAGTGAAATCAAAATTTACCCTCCTGTTGTGTCCTGTGAGGGTTGAAATATGGCAAGATTTCATAATTTTGCCGATGAATATTTGACGGTGGTAAGGATCGATGCAATGATGAGAAAAAGTAGGAACAAGAGTAATTTTTAACTGGCTTGTTATGAAGGAGTTTTTTATTGGCGGTTCAGCGTAGCTCAGTGCTGAGGTAAGCGTTTCTTTCTTGCCGTGATATCCTGTCGTTTTTCCGTAGGCCGTACAAATTTTTTTCGAAAATTTTTTCATCTTTCTCTGAAACACCAAACTCTGAAAATGTCTGAGCAAAATTTGTCTCATGAAGCAAAACATGCGTTTGGGATATTCCTAAGGAAGGTACCTCACATCCGTAGAATCCTATAGATTTATTTTGGTGGCTGTTTTTGTTATTTTGGGGAACAGAATCATTTAAGAAGTACGAGTTCGTCTCAGCGAATCTTTTCCCGGTCTAAGAATCACGTATTATTCACTATTCAACATCGAAATGAATAAACTGAGTTAAAACATTCGTGTGTGACAAACAAACTTCAAACCAATGATTCACCTTATTGTCTGCGAAGGTGGGGGATATTAATGTCTGCTTCTGAAGGAAATAGTTAGTTTTGTTTTGTCACGAGTCTCAATGTTTCTCTCGACGAAGAAGAGGTAAACACCGAGACCTGATAGAAAACAGAACTAACTGTTTCCCGAGAGACCAGACATTGATTACTTATTTGGCTTTAGAATACAACCAGAGAACGGACGAGAACTAGCAGAGAGGTAGCAACAAATTGTCTGGAAGCAGCAAAGAGAGCTTCATCCCGGGAAGCACTGATACTCTAGATTACAAAATAGTAACTGTTTCCCTCTGACGCAAGGCTAACACAAGAACCGTGAGCTTTGCCAACTTTTTAAATTATCAACTCAGTGGATAAGACAAAAATTACCTTGTTATACTTCCCCACCGACGCAGCACCACAGTTTCTAATGAATCTTACTCTATCTTTCCATCAGGGGTGCCTGTTTCCCTCGGGGGTAGCCTCTTTCCAGGCGTTCAATTTGCAAAACGAAGCGCGGTAGGAAACCGCCATAGTAGCGGAATCAAAAAACGAGGGAGGCTTGGGACGGGTCGCGTAAATACCCTATCTGACCCATTCCTCTTCGCTTTTTTACTCCGTCTATAGTTAGCACTATTGCGCCGTTTACGATGGCGCTTCGTTCTAACTAACTAAATGACTAACTAACTAACTAACTAACTAACTAAATGACTAACTAACCAACTGAAACAAACTACTTAAGGAGCAGACATTAAGGGCCGGTTATTTTCACGAGATCTAGCCCAAATTGCGGTTTTACGCAAGCAGTTGACCTTAGGTATTCTCCATAAGGGTGTGTTCATTAAACAAATGTCCTTCCTTTGCTAGCTTTCGGCCCTCTTGACACTGTTCACAAAAAATGAAAGTTCAGATAAAAGACTCAGCCAAATTCAAGATAGTTTATAACGCGGTATTGTTAAACAATGGCTACACTTTGTTTGGATAACCCGCCCCTAGTGTCTGCTGTAATCGAAAAAGACATCCTCCATCTTGGATGATGTGGCTTCGGTTGTGCATTAACCTGGAATAATATTTAGCATGTTATTTTGAATTTACTTAGTTGTTGAACCATCTGAAAGGTTTTGGTGATTCTTTTTGTTCGTATAAGTGGGAATAATTCCAGTGATAAAAAGAAAGTCTTCAACAAGCTCAGCTTATTCTTGATGTGTTCTCTTTTTAAGTGATGTTATAATTTGTGGTAAATTCTACGCCCAGGATAATCATTTGGCCTATCCATTCCTCTATATTTTCTCTTCCCCCGTCAACACTTGGTTCGCAAGTTTAATTTTGTGAGCAGCATCACCGGGAAATAATCCATTTATACCAGTTTGACATAATTTCGCCTCACCTTTTCGCCCATACTTGGTGTTGAAATGAATGGAAATTTCAGATTACGTTGCAGCTCTTCACGCATTCGGTTACAGTTAATAAACTCTTACTTTGAGTTGAAATTTCTCTCACAGCACAAGTTTCGTTTTACTCAAATATCATGTCAAAAAGTTAAATAGTTCAATGGTAAAGTGTGAAGGTTAGCAACAAAGGGCGAAAAACTGAATACAACTGACTACCGACAAAACGCGGAGGATAAATCCAGTGCGGATGTTGTTTTTTCGAATTGTGAGCATTTTTGGTTCACTAACTTGTGCCTGATGTGATTAACCATAATCAATCGATATAGGGTCCTCATAACGTTAATTAGCTATAAACTGTAGCTACGTAACCACCTGTTAAGACTTTTGCTTAGCAGTTGCACCCAGGCTTTTTATTCTGTGATCTTGCACAGGCGAGATTCCTTTGCAGTTAATTGTCCTTATCGAAATGTGCTTGATAATTCTACTGGTTTTTAACTGGGAAGCAAGCTTGATTGGCCCCAAAACTCGTGAGCCTAAGAAATTAGGCTCATTATTGTGACAAATTTATATCATCAACTCGTTTGATAAACTCAAATGATCTCGTTACACCCCCCATCGACAGAACACCTCAGTTTCTTCAGAAATGTACCCCTTTCATTCATTTGTTGGCAGTGTTTTGGATGACGGAAATGAGAGTTTGATCCTCTTTTTTTCATTAGAAGAGGTGTCGGCAGAAAGTTGCTGCAAAGCTTCTTTTTTAGAGGTCAGCCCGCCAAATAATCACTGCGTCGCGTTTGTCAGCGGCTTTGACAAAAATGAATCTGCGCTTATTACTTACACTTTTTAGCATCGTCTCAGAATTGTCCATTCTTTCGAAAAGTTGGAAAATTTTGTTATTTTGTGATACCCCCACCGATTCAGCGCCATGGTTTCATTAGAAACTCATCCTACTTAACTTAAATGTTATCGCCAAACTAAAAGTGCCATTCTGTGTTTAGTACGAACCATCATAATGACTAGCTTCCAGTTGGCTTGTTTCTGAATTACGGTTTGCATTAATTAATACCTATAATTTTTCGAATGTCTGAGTAAATCAAGTTTTTGAATGAGGCTTTTGACACCGTGTGAAATAATGCTTCATCAACATCTTTCAGACATAGACACTCTTTGCAAAAATATTTCAGTTGTACCAATTCCACAGTTTCCTATCCCCGGATTGCAGTAAGCAGCGTATTCTCTAAGATATGGTTTTGATAGAACATGGTCAACGATATTTTTGATTGAGAAAAACTCCTTGAAGAACTCTGGTTTGCATCGGTCGGACGAAACTCTAGTAAAATTATTTTAAAAACTTACTTTCACAAACAAAATTCTGCGAAAGTATTAAAGTTCAGGTACAGAGTTTGAACATCAAAGGCTCTTCATTCCTTAGCATATTCTTCGAGAAGACCAGCGACCACCAGAATTACAGACAATTTGCAGACATGCCGCAGTTATTCTGATGGTTTGATTACTGATATATTGATAAAGAGCAGATGTGTATTACTACACTGAGAATTAAAAACAGTCCTCTCGTAGACAAAATATCAGTTTTGATGCTTGTCCATTTTGAAAACCTTATGGTAAGATGTCTTCAAGTAAATTTAGCCCGATCAAAAGGGGAAAAATCGTCAAGGCCTATTAGAATACAAGATTTTGTGGGGGAACAAGAAAGAGCCCCGAGCTTCAACTTTGATTCTGAACTTAAAGGACACAAAATCCAAAGCGACCCTTTTTGTCCTCCTAAACCATCTTAGATGCTCGAAGGTGGAGTTAAAAAGCGTCATTCCACTTTTCGAACCTTGTTTTCTTAGTCTCATCAAACCTACATTTGGCAGCTCTCAAAATTATACTAGATAGAACATTCATGGGTCACTGAGCCAAATTTAAACACGTTACAATTATGTAGACTATGGTACATAGAAGAGTAACGTATGGAAAATCATAATTTATACTCTAGGAAGCCACGCATTCGGGAGAAGAAACACGTTGCATCTGCGATTGCAAAGTATCTACTGAAGTCATGCTCATTACGGAGGTTGAGGTTTTGTCATCTTTTGTTCGACCTCTGGAGTTTCTAATGTTACATCATATATTTCCTTGACGACTGGTTTCAGTGCTTCTGTGCTATGCCGATATCCATAAAATAAGTAGATGATGAAACCTGTATGAAAAACAAAAAGGAGATTGGAATGCATGAGATAAGGCGTAGGAAACCTCCCAAGGGACAAATTATATGTTACGTGGTATGCAATGAGTAAACAATCAGTGAAAGGACTAGATTGCTGATTGACCGTGAGACAATGACGGACTGATTTCGTAACCAACCGAGATTGATTAATATACCTGCTGACTGACTCATTGACTGACAAACCGACTGTCTCGCTGACTGACGAGGTAATTGACCGACTGACTCACTGAAGGACTGACTGACCGAAGCTGACTGACTGTCTGGTGTACTGTCCAACTGACTGACTCTGCTGTACCGTCTGACTGACTGACTGACTTTGTGGTGAATTAAGGCGGTAAGTTTGTAAAGAAAATGGGTTCTGCGTCGGTGGGGGTATAACATGATCATTCGGTTCTTTATTTCACTTTGACGAAGGGCTAACGCTTGAAACGTCAGCTTAAGAAACCCTTTACGGTGGCCAATTTAAATCATCAACTCAGTTGAGAAAACCAAATTGACTGTCTGATGTACTGTCTGACTAATTTACTGACATTTGTACTGTCTGAATGACTGATTTATGTACTGTCTGACTGACTGACTGACTGACTGACTGAAGTACTGTTTGACTACCTAAATGATGTACTCTCTGACTGACTGACTTCTGTGCCGTCCAACTGATTAACTGACTGCTGTCTTGAACGATGAGCTTTGTGACTTACTGTCTGACTGAGCAATCGACTGACCAATTTATGTACCGTCCAGCTGAATGACTGACTGATGCACTTTCTCACCCACCGGCTTACCGAGGTACTGACTGATATACCGTCTGGTTGACTGACTGTGGATTAACTGATATACCCTATGACCGACTGAAACTGACAGACTCACTGACTGACTCACGGACTGGCTTCTTGAAAGACTGCGCATGCACGCACCTAACATCATCCAAACGCCAAAGCGAACATAGGTCCCCCATTGAAGATTTGCCATTAACACAGCGTTGATGAAGATGGTTAATGCTGAAATGTAGGGAACGCCAGGAACCATGAAAGGAAACGTCGCAGAGTTCCTTGGTTGAAGCTGAATGACAAAAAGTTGAACGATAACTGCTCCTGAGAACAGAGTAAGGAGAAAGATTGCCCACCATTCACCTTTTAAGAACACGTGTTGAAATGAATAGCTTAATATCACAGCCAACGCTGCTAAAGAAATCACAAGGAAAAATACAGCCACTTCTGCACGAAATGTTGTTGCTTCAGTGACCTCAGCACGGGGAGTTGGCGGACGACTGCATGAGTCTTCCTCATCTGTTATTTGCTGGTATGCTGTGCCGCTTGATTGATCTTTTTGCGTCCTTTTAGCCTTGGAGAAAATGTTGTGAAGCCACTGAGTTATGCCGGTATTTCCTTCATAATTTTCAGGAACACTTTGTACTCCAGACTGGAAGCGGCTCACAAGAACAGAGATGGTAACTTTCGTGTAAGCCACTAATGTTCCAATTGAAAGGAGTTCCACCTGGTGGTCCAAATTAAAATATCCTGATTATCAACACTAATAATACAGTCATATTGGAAAATGAGGATTTGAATAAGCAGAAGAAGCAAGAAAATAAAGATCATCGTCGACAGCAAAATCAGTGGGAACCGATGACCATTCGCCAGACTGTCAACGTAGACAAATTGGGACAGTCAAAAGCGCGGAAAAATTTGCAACATTTCGTAATTGGTTTTTTTTGTGATAATATCAGATATGATTCGTTTAGAGGTGTCGCAACACCAAGTTAGAAAAAAGGGGCTTTATCTTACCATTTGATTTACGTCAAACATGAGTGCTATCAAAGCTGTGATGATACCAGATACCAAAGTAGCTCTGTACGGTACCTGGGTTGTGCTATGCACCTTGGAAAACCATCTGAACAACAGCCCATCCACTGACATGGAATAAACAATTCTTGAAGTAGAATAGACTGCACAGAGTAATGCACTGACAGTGGCACAGATACCTCCGCTCACTATAATATACATAGCACCAGAAAAGGTCTTGCGCCCGAAGGCCTCTGCCAATGGTGCATACTTATCTAATTCATAATAGGGTACCATTAGAGTGAGTACTGAGGCTACACTTATATACGCCAACGTACTGAGTATGATGGTGATGAAGAATGACTTGGGGAGGTTTTTCTCAGGATCTACCGCTTCCTCAGCGGCCTCCGCGACGATATCGAATCCGGAGAAGGCAAAGAAAGCCCCTGCTGCACCTTCTAGTACACCTGAGACGCCATAAGGCATGAAATTGTTTTTCCAATGATTTAAATCTACGAAGAAGAATCCGAAAACAATTATAAAGAGGATAAAACCTAAGTTTATGATTGTCACTAAATTGTGGAAATTTGTGGAGGTACGAGCTCCCAAACACAAAATAGCCATTACTGCGAGTACTAATGCAGCTGCCAGCAGATCTGGAAAGGGTTCCTCCCCGGGAATAATCCAGTATTTTGAAAAATGTTTTGATAAGAAGAGGAACACCTGTCCGTTAGAAGCAGAATCTATAAATCTTCTGCAAGTTCGTGCAAGACTGGCTCCAGTGATTAAAAACTCCAGAGCAACATTCCAGCCAACAATAAACGCAGATATTTCACCGAGAGTGGCATAAGTGTACAGATATGAAGATCCAGCATCGGGAAAACGGCTACCATATTCAGCGAATGAAAGGGCGCACAAAAATGCGGCACTGGAGGCCAGGAGGAGAGAGAGGACGACTGAAGGACCAGCGACAGACCGAGCTAGCTCCCCAATGGCCACATACAGGCCAGTGCCGACTGTTGTGCCAACACCTAGTGAGGTGAGGTCTATGGCTGTCAGGCATCTTTTCAGTGGAATTTCTGGGACCCATGCTTCGCTCGGCTTCTTGCGAATTAAGTTGGCAAGTAGTTTTTTGCAGACCATCTACGGCAAAAAATAAATCATTTAGAAGTCTAGTTTCAAATTGTTTAAGAAGACTACAATCCTTGAATTATAGAGTAAACCGAGTATTTTACGGTCACAACTATTTGACATCTACTTAAAGGATTATTTTCCATACTTTTGCGTTTAATCATCTATCTGCGCTCATTTGAACAACCTCTGACACACCTGAGGAGGTGGTCAGTTTAGTGAGGAGAGCAAGTCCATTCTCTAGGAAAATGACAGCGTGTTCACTCATACTACAAGCACGAATAAAGGAAAGACTGTGCTAAAGATCACAATGGTGTTATCAAGTAAGAGTAAAGTCAATTCAGTGGACGTATAGGTTATGCCAATTTCGCTGTTGCTGCTTCAATGACGCTGAAGTAGCACTCAGAATAGTTTCAAGACTTCATTACTAATCACAGCCATTACTGAGTCATTTATCAAACTGCGTGACTTTTTGCATAATGATAAAAAAGAAGAGACGTCGTGCGCAACGTGCGTACGTTCTGTTGGAAACAATCTGGAACCGAAGAAAAACAGATTGTTTTGGTTTGTTTATATAGTCGTGATTGATTTTAATGACTTCAGTATATTTCAAGGTGTAAAATAGCCTTGAAGGAGCTTCATTGTGGGTTTTTTTAAGTTTATATTGATTTGCCCACTGTTAGCATTGAGCTTATTCAAATAATCGGAAGCACACTTAGTGACAAGGTAAATCATTTGAATAATTGTGAGCGAAATTGCATAAGGTCTGCACTCCAGCCGAATGGCACAATTTAGGCCGATGCTTACCCAGACTTAATCAGTAACATATCACCAAGCGTCATCAAGTAATCATAAATTCCAGAAATTTCAAGGGAGTTTTAGAAACTTCCATGTTACAATATAACAGAAAGTAAACCCAATGTGGCGTGCTGCTCATCTCAATGATTTACAAATCATGCATGGTTGCTTTCCATTTCGTGATGTAATTAGGTCACGTAATTTAAATCCTAACAAACCTTAACATTAACTTAAAACTCTCCTTCGTTAAATGTCGATGAAACAGAATGATTGAATCTTTGTGAAGGTGTTTTGTTGTACCCGGTTATTATGTTAGTGAGTAATGATATTTCACGAGGGAGTCCATTTTGCCAAGGCGATTTTCAGCGGGGTCCTCCACCAGCAAAAGCTTTCAGACCCATATACATTGCGAAACCCACATGAAGTTTCCCCTGCTTTGTTTCGAAACGTTCTTAAGATTTTATGCCCACATCTTGTATCGAACTGCAATACACGAGTTAATCAATCAAATACATGATGTACACCAAAACAGCAATGGTATATATCATTGCTTACCATGCAATCAATAGACCAAAACACGGGCATAACTTTCCTAACGAAATCGTTGTTCTGCTGGATGCTATTGCTTTCACTCACCTTGCATTTTCGTGTTCAGCTTTTAAACTATGACCATCGATTAACGCTCAGGCTCTTACTCTAGAATTTGCTCAAGGAAACTCATTTTATGAGCGAGAACATATCTAACTTGGTTTACATGAAATGAATAATTGGCGCCAATTCACTGTGGGGGGATATAATTACAAGGTGATTGGCAATTGTCACAAGTCAACAGAAGCTTGGAAATCTTTCATTTGTCTGTTTGTCGTATTGTTCGAGGGAACAATGCCGCATTGTTTATGTTTCTGATAAACACTTCTCAAGGAATCTCATATTTTCTTTTGGAAGAATTAAGTTTATATGGCAATATTTGCAATTGGTTAGTATTTAGAACACAAAACAGGCGATGATTTGTTCATTTAAACTTCAATTAGTTTTTTTCTCCTTAATGTCTGACGAAATAGCGGTCTTTGCCTGTTGTAAATGGCTGGGGGCCTTCTTTAAATCAATTATTTATGATGTTGGTCCCAGGTAAAATCTAAACAGAAAATTTTGTTGTTTTGCAATTCTTTTCTGACTTCAAACTTTTTATCACATACAATTGCAAAGATGATCATTCTGAACCTCGGCTAGGTACCGATAATAGATCTCTCAACCTTCATGATCATTGACTTGAAGTTTGGCCGGTTGCAAATAATAATAATAATAAAGAGAAAACCAGTCGAGAAGTCACACTCTTAGTTCAGTTTGGTCGTTTAGCGGGATTCATTTAACGCTTCACTTTCTTGAAAGCCAGTTATTTCAGTCAGGTCAAAATTCTGGATAAGGTACCATCTTCCTCATTCGAAGTTGTAATCAAATTTATCGTTTCTTTCATCTTTTCTAGAGCGCTGTTTGTTGTTATCATTTTTACAGATTCATCAGTTATGCCTTCCGCGAGCAGTTTTCTACCCTCCACGAGGAAGGTCCTGCACATAACCTTAAAAAAACCGGTTACTTCCTACTAAATTGCCAAACTTATAATTAGCTATTTCTAGAACAATTTAAATCAAATGTTATGACCATTTGCTAAGAAAAAGGTAGAAAAGAAGAGGGCTGTTAGGAATGATTTAAAATCTCTTCTTTACATTAAATTGCATCCATTTTCTTTCATGGTTCGCATAATCTTTCGCTTTGCATACATGATTAATTTGGTCGCGGTGTTGCAGAACCCAAAGTTGTTTTCACTGAAAGAGGTTATTAGCACTAAACGCTTACGAATGTGCCATTTGATAAATTTTGTATTAAGTTAAAAACTAAGTAATGTTTGAAAAATTACGGGTATGTACTTATTAGGCACCACATAATTTTCAGCGTTCTTGAATACTATATGCTTGCTATAAGCTTGTTTAAATTCAAAACCATATCTTCATAAAGCAGGAGACGGAATGGCTCGAATACTTTCTAACACTACTATCGAAATAAGACTAAAAACGTCCTTTTGCGTTTAAGTTAAAGCGACGTTCTTCGCTGATAGCTTATAAGATTATGAGCGCAAAGTGGCAAAATCGTAATGATAATATTGGCGGCAACGCTCAAGTTTATTGAGTCCAAAGCAGAGCGTTAAACATTGCTAGTGAGAAGTATTAATAAAACTTACCTCACTGCAGTGCAGAGTTCGCTTCCGAAAAAGACCAAATTTCCGTATTTTTAGATTTTCATTTTTGCCAGGATCCAGTAAAGAAGACGAGCGGTTACGCTTTTGTTAAAGAAATAAACAATCGCATCTACAAAATACTGAGTCAATTGTCACTCATTTCCATAAAGAGGATTCAAATAATTTAGGCATGCGAAATAATTATGCTTTATTCCTGGACGAGAATTAACTCAGGGAGAATACTTATCTTGCTAGAGCACTTTCTAAACACAGTAAAACTCAATGTTCAGCTTTATAATCTCTAGCAATGTTATCGGAACACTTCTCTGATACCCACGGACCGAAGCAGGTAAAAACCAAATGGAAGATAACGAATTTTAACAGCTTTGTACACAAATAAGTCAGATGTGCCAACTCATTCACGATAGCATGGCTACCGAGAAGGCCTCGGACATAGTGGCGTGGTGTATTTTTTGTCTAACAACATCTCATTGTTTTGATACCACCCCGATGAATTCTGCCTAAGACTTACGAGCATTCGTCGACATTAAGTTCAGCCAAAGCAAAAATTTGGTACTAAATACAAAACTGTGTCTACTAGATTCTCTTTAAGAGACTTTCCAACTGATTTTATGTGAACAGTGTTAGGAAAGAGATGTCTAATATTAACATAACACGCTTCGAACAATAGCCTCTTGCAAATACCACAATGGCAACAGTGCCACCATGGTAAGTATTTCTCTGCTGGGCAGTTTGACTTCCTTTAGTTGAAAGTGAAGGGACATAAATTGAAATTGATGATCCCGTTAAAACAGGACATTACATTCAGTTTTCGTATGAGATTACGAACAGTTTATATTATCTTGGTTTTCGTTAGAAACTTTCTGTATACTTCATACCAAAAGGTTTTTTTTATAATTGCATACCCGTACTTTTCGAACGTTGCAAAGTTTTTAATGCAATACACGTTGATCAAATCGCATAAAATGCAGTGAATTTCACACCTCTGTTGACCATTGCATTCGCATCAAGCAGTTTGTTAGAGAGCACAAAACGCGGGTCTTGACTTAGCCTTAATCCTCGGTTGTTAGGTGATGTTTCAAGATTCTCTCTCAATGCCGTTTCTTAGGGACAGTAGGGCAGCTCGGCTGTAGTTTACGCCTTCTTTGTTTCTGGCTTCTGCGCAGAATAGGCGGGAGCTTTTGTCTAGTTCTTCAATCATCATCTCTGGAAAACTTACTCCTATAGCTTTTTGTTTATTCCATGCTGTACAAACAAGACCGAGAGAATTAGCTACTTCACTACTAAATTTATAGTAACTTCTTGCCTCAAAATGTGCAAAATATTACCAGTTAGTCATTTGTAAATACTTGTAAAAACTTGAACTGGACTGACAGTTACCAAAGTACATGCAACAAGTTAAACGATATTTGTGTTGCGTTAACTTCATGTTTGAAACTTTTTTTCGAAATAAGAATTTATTTCTAAGATAGTTATGGATCATAGATATTACGTGTAAATACGAAATTTGCCCACTTAGTTGCTTCTTTGTTTTTTTTTCGCTTGGGCATTTTGGACGGGCAAATATAGCTCTTTGTCTTCAGCTTGTTTCGTCTTCTCTACCAGCTCTGCTTTTGTCGATTTCCTTTATGTTTTCTGCAAAATTTGTATTTTTTGGCTGCATTACTTCAAAACCCGACATAAGATCAAATTTGGAAAATCTTCGTCCGCCATTATGGAAACACCTGAAAATTGTCGTAGCTGCCACCGATCAAATGCAGGCTCTATAACCTGATAAATCATCCTCTTGAAAACCATAGGGCATTGACCAATCAAACGATGCATATTATGTTCATTCATGTTTAAATAATATTAACACAACTGACTAATTTTAAACTAAAACGCATTACGCTGAACCTGGTCAGTACACATAAGCAACTGAAATTTACGGAGACAAGAGGCATACTTAAGAGAAATAAAAAATAACGGTTTTGTTCAATGCACATACGGCATAAGTTTTTCCCAAGTTTATTATTTTTGGTTACAATTTTTCCTCAACAAAAAACGCTCTTTTAAAATTTGCTAAAAAAATTTCTGAGTTCGATAAAATTTACGTTTATGAATTAAAAGTCTTACCAAATAGTTCATAATAAAAACGCCTCTACTATTACTGAGATATTTTGCTCTAGCGAGGCATGGGATATCAAGGGATAAAAACCGTACACGAAAGACAAATATCGAACCAGAAAATAAATCTAACGACAACAACAAGCAACCAACGAGAGCCAACAACTATACTGCCACAAAATAATATTTTTAGTGAATTCAATCAACTCAAATTAACAATATAAAGCACTTGGAAGAGTACAATTAAAAAGTCGAGTGGTTAAAGTAATCGACAAACTTTTATAATATGGGTGGTAAAACTCAAGACAGTGAAAAGAGTAAAGAGATCCTAGATTGTGCTGGTTTTTCAGTGGGTCCGGTCTATATAGGAAGGTAATTCTTTGAAAAATATAAAAAGCTACGATATTTGGAGATATTTATGTGAATGTTGCCATTTGTGAAGTTTACTCAATTTTGGCCTTAATTTGACTTGAGGCAAGGCAATGTAACGAACCCATTTCATGGTAGTATCGAAAGCGTCGTAAAAGCAAACTCCAAGTAACTACAACGGTCAAAGAAAAGTCTGTTTTAAAGACTCCAAGTGGGATAAAATACAAGTGACCAGTTCACGATTGGTAATTGTGTTTCATGTGATTGGTCGAGAGGGCCTGGAATTCTTCCAACGCTGCCTGTGCCCTATTGTTACCGTGTAGCTCAAGGGATGGACCTCTCGAATGGAGGATTTCGGGCTCAGTCGACCCACAGTTATTTTAGCTCGGTATAAAGCTCGCCACATTTTAACCCAAGCATGTTGAAGTTTATCAGATTCGGTTTAAGTCAGCTACCAGTGGACGTCCGGCCCCGCACGAGCCCTGCCCGCGGCGCCCCTATGCCCCTTACGTTTCCCACGAATTCTTCAGTTCCCGCTTTGTTGCTCGTCACGTTTTCTTTTTGGTTGAATGTGTTTAAAGCTTGCATCTACGTTAGGATTTTCGTACAAAATAAAATCACCCTCGGTTGATTCCTTTGGTTTAAGCGCCTCTTTGCTTCGTCTGTATCCATATAAAATGTAGATAATCAGTCCTGTAACATGGAAAAAAATAGATCATGAAGTTAAAAAAATTGTTGAAAGGAATAGTACAAATTATAGGTGTAAAACAGAACGTAACTATATTCCTTTCCAGAAATAGGAGTATCGATAGATAACTACAGTACAGGCTTTCGTCTGCTCTCGACTTTATCGCTCAACGATCCGTTTTGGCCTCACTGTCCTTGTTGGAGATCACAGATCATAGGATGGGACGCCAATAATTATTGTTTTAGAAAATTAGTAGTATTAATGCCTGTTTGTATCGTTGATCTGCACAAAAAGAGAACACAGGAACGGCCCAAGGATTACTCTTAGATATGAGCTAAATTTTCTCGGTATTCGTTTCTTGTTGGGAATGTGACAATATATCATTAAAAGTAAGAGAAATTCAAGAAGTCGGTAAAGAAACAAAAGATTATAAATACGCTCTAAAAAGAGAAGTTACAGAGACCATCTTACCTGGAATTAGCCATGCGCCAAATCGTACAAAAGACAAATAATCCAATTCAGAGATGAGAAGGACATTAACAAAGATGGTGATGAGTGAAAGCAAGGGAGAACACGGCACCGTGATAGGAAACTTTGCATTGTTCTTAGGCTGTCGTGTTAGAAATATAAGAGCCACAAATATAAAAATGCCACTCATGACAGCAGCAAGGAATGCCCAACTGTCCTCCTTAAGGATGCCATTAAGTACGGTCAGGATGATAGTGACAAGAAACGAAATACTGAGAACCAATAAAAATATAGCCAAGGTGGCGTTATCATGTGATATTTCGCTGGGCTTTCCGCTTGTGTTACCTTTAACGGTGTCACGTTTCTCAAGTTCGGATTGATCAGAGATTGGAGGTGGATATCGTGGTTCCGATGTGATTGACTCTAGCCACTGGTTTGTTCGTTCAAGCTTGGCTGCTTTCCCGTACACATGACATTCCACACCAGGCTGGTAACGTGTTAACAAGACCGAAATAGCAACCATGGTGTAAGCCAAGAGCGTACCAACTGAGAGAAGCTCAATCTGAAAACAATAAAACATCTGATGGGATGTTTGGTGGTATCAAATGTGCCACCCAGCCCAAAACAGAAATTCAAAGTAGCTCAGCCATTTTATGATTGTCTGTGAAACAATAAGGGACTAGGGCTGTTTTTTTTAGGCCTGGGAGGTGCTTCCGTTGTACCAAAATCATTTTGATACTTGTACAAGTTTAAGTAGTTTGTCTTTTTTCGGTTATTCTCTGTTAACAAGACACCGTTACAAGAATTCTTGCCATCAAGAACCCTGAGAGCGCGAGTTTACCGTGGTTACCGTGTTGAAGCGGTTTACTACTCAGAAAAAAAGAAACTGTATCAGTGTTATTCAAACAACAAACATTATACAAACATTTTGCTGATAGACCTTTAAGACTTCGCTTAAAAATTCCTCATTGACAGAAAACTAATTAAAACTCGCCCGCCCTTAATTAGCTAATCGATCTTCTACATCGTGTAAGGAACCCAGGTTTGATAAGCTACTAGCTTCTGCTGGGCTTTCTCGCCACACTTTTCATAAATGATCATAAATAGTAATTTTATATGAGTTAAGTATAGATTGTTGTATAATGGTATTATAATTGTTATCATTTTTTATTGTTGTAAACAACTGTAATTTATTTTTGTATGTGTGTGTGTAAGTAGCAAATGAATAAAATAAAATAATGACATGATGAACTTGTATGAAAAGACGAAAAAACATGGTGTTAGCACGATATTCAACAGCTTACTATGCCGGGATGATTATTGTGTCGTCATGACTTTCACACTCGCGGCCCTCTGAAGCACATCACTTTAACCAGAGAACCTTTGTGCAAAGATGTCACTTAGACAGGAATAGTTGCGCGAAGCCGGAAGTCAAAGAACTGCCTATCAAAGTGGTAAGAAACAAAGCCGTGGAGGATTGCTCGGAAAAAAGATTTCTGCATGCAGACCCACATTACATGAATAATAAAAAACAAGGAAACAAAAAAATAATATTAGCAAAAACATCATTAAAGAAAGTAGTAATACCAAATGTTCTGTGGAGAACAAAGTTGCCAAGCATCCACTAAACAAACCGTGGACGAACGAAACTGTCGTCAAAGCACTGAATGGCTCATCAACGCAATCAAAGCCAAGCAGAAGCCCATCAGTAACCATGGTAAACAATACACGGGGTGCAGCTAGTGAACACGAGATCAAACCATTTGAAGTCGCTGAAATTGCTCCAATAGTAACGGCATAGTCAGCTCCTGGAATAACGCGAAAGATCTTAGCGAAGGGTGCAAAACCGCTCTTTTCATCGAAGGGTATTGTCAAGGTGAAGATAACAGTGGTTCCACAATATATTATTGTTACTAAAGTAACAGTTAAGATTACAGCCAGAGGCACCGATGAACTTGGTATTGTGGTCTCTCGGCTTGCAGAAGATATGGCGTCCAGGCTAATAAAGATGAAATAGCTCCTAGCAGCGGCTTTCAAAATGTCTTGGACACCATATGGCAGAACATTATTATGTGTCCAGTTATCTGGTTTTGCAACGAAAAGACTGATGATAAAAAGTAGAATCAGTGCTACAGAACTGAAGGCTAGCATGGTGTGGTGAAAGAACATGGCCCGTCGCATTCCCATAGCAATAACCCAAGTCACGGCTACTGGTAGAATGAATGCAAGAAAATCTGGAAATGGAGCTAGAAAAGGATAATTCCAAGTGACTACTTCGTCTTTGAAAAAATCGTATATCCTTCCTCCCAGTAAGTAATCAATGTACTCGCTGCATGTTCTTGCTAACACTGCTGTTACGATCATATATTCTAGAATCATTGTCCACCCCACGATGAAAGCCCAAATCTCCCCTAGCACTGCATAACAATAGACGTAGGCTGACCCACTCTTTGGAATCCTTGAGCTGAACTCGGCGTAGCATATCCCAGATAATATAAAGGATAAAGAAGTCAGAATAACGGATAAAATGACAGTAGGCGCTGCCATATCATTTGAAAGCTTTGGAATTATGATGTATACACCAATGCCAATTGCTGTGCCTGCTCCCAAGAGTGTCAAGTCCATAGTTAATAAAGATCTTCTTAAAGAACCCTCTGATAGACGTGCAAGGTCTGGTTTGGTTCTTGTTATTTTTGCGAACAAACTCGGGTATTTTGAGCCTAAAAATGAGAAGGTTTGTTGTTAACTGCAGTACGTACAAATGAACAATTCATGATCACAAAAGGTTACTTTTACAAGGTGATAATATATTTAGTTATCGTTGCCATATTTTTTTACAGGCGCCTTTCACTTACCGCTATGTCCTTCATCGTTTTCCTCGAGATTCTCTGACATTTTCTGCAAAACATGTCGCATATTGCATCAACTTATTAACATCGCTTGATGTCGGTAAAATTTTGAATATGCAACTTTTAAATTTTTTTTAAGATATATCCTCTCTTTCTCCAAAGCGTTTATCAAGATCCGTTTTCATCACTTCAATTAGGGGTTCCACGAAGACATACGAGAGATTGAAGAAAGATAGTAGACTATCATGATTATAAGGACTATCAGGCTACCAGGTCACATGGTTTGAAGTCTCTTTCCTTGACGCTATTCGAATCCGTGCTAGTTTACTCAATTTTTTTTTTCCTTTCGGTCCCAAGCACGAGAGGACGCCGCTTAACAGCTTTATTTATTTCTCTCATCTCTTTCCACAAAAACAAAGATTTTTTTTGTCTTGATAAAATGAGGTAAAATAAAAAAAAAAAAGTAAGGCGTTCGGGCTCATTGTTGGTGACAGTTGATCGAAAAATCAAGCGCATGATCGTATTTTAGTCTCTAAATTTGCAAGTGCATTCAATGACACCATCAATCTCTTGGAATATTGATGCTTTGTGATTAATTTTGTGAGGACAGCAAACTATTGTGAGGGCAGTAAAAGTACCAGAGTATTCTTTTTTTTTTGTTAGGAAAGATTTTGTGCTTTAGCCTGGAAAATAATTTATGCACTACCCTCGAACGTGTTTGAAACGCTTATAATTCTCGCTTGTGGTTGTGTACATTTTTGTTTCAAAGGTTGTAAAATTGCCTTCTTTTTCTAGAAGCGAATAAAATCCTTATCTCAATCCATTCCACGAAGAGTCAGACAGGTGGCGTGGGTTTGTTTCATACATCGCCATGAACTTGATTTATCGATAACACAGCCTGGGTATCTCTCAAAGCAATCCTGATCGACCACTTTCTGTACCAACTAACCACTTTCTCTGCCAAATTATGCCGAATCAGTTTTCAAGGTTGATTATACTTAACGAGTTTGTTTAAGGATTAAATATATCGAGGAACTGTTAAAAATTAAAACTACCTTATTCATATCGCTATTTGAATTAAAAGGCCTCGCCACAACAGGATAACAAAGAAGTGGTGCCATTTTACTTACCGCGAAGGTTTCTGGTCGGTCCGTTTTGATTTGTCTTGTCTTAGTGATATCAAATTAAAATAAGAACAGTACACTGCCGGAGTACTTCGCTTGATAGTTGTTTGATTTGAGTTACTTTTCAAGTTTTCCTTTATTGTAGTTACGATTTATCAGTCAGTAGAAGCTCCAGGGTGATGTTCTAATGTCAAAAGAACTTTGCTTAAATTAGCATTTATTTGAGGCCAAGGTAACCAGTTGTAGGAATAGTAACTAACGCCCTCTTCAAAAGATACGATGCAAATTATTCAAAAAGTGCACTACGTCCTAACGATGTTCACGTCATTGCGGTAGATAACAGCGTGATAAAAAGGAAGGTATGTAGGGGTTCTCGCCCTGATAAGGTTCACATATTTATTCGTAATTTCATCTCAAAAGTTGCAATTATTTGGAACTTCTAAAAGATGGCGGTCTAATTTTAAAATTCATCATTGCAAGACATTAGCCCCAGGGCTAGAAAGTACAATTAAACAATACCTGCTAGAATTTTCACACCAATACAACTACCCTTTACATTTGGTTGAAAAAGAGTCTCCGAATTTGTATTTATGGTCTAAATCAACCATGCGAACATCATCAAATTTAATTCAAAATTTTAATACATCTCACGGTTGGTAGTTGCGCTATGATTGGTCAGTTTTACTGTACAGTCCAGTTCGCTAGATTCAAGAGATTGTTTGAAATGAAATATCCCTCTATTTCAACCTAGAGATTTTACAAAATATATTTTAAATGCTAAGGAACCTTGTTTATCCCACTCGGATTTGGAGCTCGGTTAGTGAAAGGTGATTCTAAATTTCTTCGGCTGAAGCAGATGTGACTAAAATTTAAGGTTTTGACATTTCCAACTACATATGAGTTTCCTTAGCATCATGATATGCTTTAATTTTCTAAACCCCATTGCGGACATCTTTCGAACAATCTTTCGAACTGAACAATCTTTCGAACTGAACAGTTGAGAAGGATTCCTTTTAAACCTTTCAACTTGGGCCCACCAGATGGCTGTGAACTGTTTCTACACGCACAAATGGAACTGTTGTTGATGAAGGTTGGGGCCATGGGGATGGGGGAAGGCTTTTGGTCGGAATCCCGAAAACTTATTGCCGTCGAGCTGACAATTAACCAGACTCATGATTAGCTTACTGTGACATGCTTCTGCTTAACTTTGTTAATTTTATTCATGAAAATGTTTGAAAAGGCCAGGTTTCAAATAAAAGCTGAGGTTGTTCAGTTGAAAAAAGACGACAATAAAACGTTAGTACTGTAATGATTTCGCAATTCAAAATTTGTAGGACGAGTCGGGTCTTCAGTTTTGCTCCAAGTTTTGAACTTTCAGGACTATTTCTATTAATATTGGTGACTAACTGGATGGATTATTACAAAATGAGAATCAATGTATGATAACGCAAATATTTCTATGTTAGATATATCAATTTCACCAATAATACGTTCGACAAAAGTGGTTAACCATGAAGTTTTTTCCTTCTACGCGAGGGCTGTCAGACTTTAACTTGATTGAGGTAAACTCAATGGACATATAGGACAAACTTTTATTCTGTTTTACACAAATTGAGCACATGAAGGTGTCGACCTCTCAGCGTATGAATGTGAAGATCGAACGAAATCTCTCGCTTTCAGTTGCGTCTCAGGTTGCTCTAATTATCAAGAGGCTGTCCTTTGGCCTTCAAGCCTGCTTGTGTAAAGCAACAATACCATCTTCCATTCACGATCCCTGGTAAAAAAAAAAAAGTGTCTCCACTGATCAGTAAAAAGCGAAAGACGGAAAATGTGGAACAGATCCCAGAAATCCTATAATTAATCAACTTTATATAAAGGATAATATAAGATGCGTGAAATAGAAAGTCGATTTTACCTTTGCCTTATTAAGGATATTTTCAACAGTGGACGTAAAGCTTTGCGTCGGGCAAGAATGAATTAATGAAAGGGCGTAATTGATTCTAGCAGTCTTTGCTTTGTAATGCATATTTCTTTACCTCTTTCTCTAGAAACTAAGTCATAAACTTTTAAGGTCGTACTAGAACGATTTTATCATTGGCTATAATGGCAAGTTATTGCATAATTATGTAGCGAAATATAAGTTCATAAAAATTAAAGCTTTAAGCAAGACTGCAGCGATAACGTGAAAAACAGTTGAGCTATGAATATTAGATTTCGAGCATAATGTTTTCAAGTGTGGATGGTTCTTCATTGAAGCCGAACAAAATTAGGACAAGATCTGAATATCAAACCTAATGTGCGTTTTTCTCTGGAGAAGCGACCATGATTAAAGGTTTTCTCTATGCTAGCTCTTTGGTCTCTTGCCTTCCAGTCGTTCCACCAAGCAATCATTGCCTCGTTTTCATAGTAGTATTCAGAGATATTGTCCAAAGCTAAGAATATGAAATAAAATTCGGACATTAGAGACTTGAAAAGTTATTTGAAATAGGGACGTTGACGTCTTTTCAGAATACTGCAATCATGCATTTCAAGCAATTCGAGATATATCACATTGTTGAGTACCGCTGTTTTCAAAGCTATCTAATTCGAACTTTCCTGATCCTCGAACTTGAAGCTTTGCTCCGAGGATTCTGTACAATTTCATTCTTAGGTAGCTTACTCGAAAAACAAGAGTCTTTCTCACAAGGTCACCGCGTTAACTCGAAGTAACACTAAAAGATAGTAAATGAAGCGGAACTTTAATTTATAGCGGGCATCCATCCTTATAATAGCATGAAATGCTCTGTTGAGTCATTAAAAGTCCCTTGCCTCGAATGGCACATAAACTCGCCGCACTTTCCAGAAATCTTTGCTATTTTCATTGTTGTTGCGGTATTTATGCCTAGTATCTGACATGAGCATGACAATCCAGTATTTGTGTAAGTATTTGAAAGGAATAAAATCCCCGAAAAGCAGTTGCGTTATTCAAGTAACTAATAATATTCTGTTAAGCTTCTATACAAAAAGAGACCCCGCGGTATCATACACTATACTGAGCACTAACCTTTCTGCCCAACTTCGAGCGCCTTGTTTAAAACTTCGAGTCCTGCCTGAGCACCTGCCATGGTGATTCTTCAGCCAATTCCCAATTCTTTTTACAATAAATCAACTGAAAAGATTGTACAGTTTTTCAAATTTCTCAATCAAAATCTGAAATCTGCTAAATTGTTTCATAAGCGATGTTTTTACTCCACTGAGAAATACGGCGTGGGGTTTTGTAGTGAGTGTAAGATTACATTAACCGAGAGCAAGCCTACTACCGTCTAAATACATTTGTCGACCGATTGTAAGACGAAAAAATTAGAAATAAGACTGGAAAAATAAAGATCATTACAAAGCAAAAAATGGGCCTTGCCTTTCAAGTATCTCGAGCGACGGCTGGATGAGATAGCGAAGTAAGGTGTTCGTGGCTTATAAATTTTCAAGAAGGAACTAGATGTCATAGTCAAATCAAAGGTGGGATTAAATCATGGCCAGGAATGAATAACAAGCTTTGTTAGTTTCGCCTTGGAGTTCCGCTCATCAATCCATAAAATAATTGCTCTCGGACTATTTTCACTTTTCAATGACAAACAGGGCTCCTGTGAGATCTTTAATTTGTGGCAGAATGTTTTTATTCGTGTCTTTTCTTTTTAATAATTGTTCTTTACTCATTCATGTTTGGAAAGCTTTTTATTGCTGTCGTAGTTAACCATAAGAGGATGAAAATTCCATCTGACTTGAACCGGAAAAAAGGCTCGACAACGTCATCATACCTTCGAGTCATTGGAGCAAATAGAAAAACAAGGCAACTAGTGATTAACGAGGGAACTTTTGCTATTTGAAGCGGGTCCACAAAAGCAAGCCACTTAAAAGATTTCATGTACAATTGTAGATCACGAAAATACGCTTATCCTATATGTAGAGAATACGTTGGAGAAACCTTTGGTTTGTAAAGTACTTAATAGTTTCTCGTGTGTTGTATCTCGAACTAAAGCAAAGGAAGAGAGAACAGTAGAACGTAAGCACAAATGGATTATTCAAACGTTTCATTCATTGGACTTTGGTTTATGATAAGCAGGCGTAAATTGCGGGTGCGGAAAGGAAGAATGGGTTCATGCCTGTTCGACGTCCAAGGTGAACTTTGTAAACAGGAACTTGTATGCAAAAATAGGAACGGGATAAAAGAAATACAGGGTTAAAGATTTCACCGGAAACCAGATCAATCAAAACAAACTACTTTGTGCTCAACTGTGCGACAAGACTTTTGTTCCTTATGAGCAATTATATATTTAGTGAAAAGTTGCTCTCTCGGAACTGTTCGCGAAGATCAACTAAACACGTTGATATTGCCATCGGTTTTAGATGTTTTGTCGAGGTACAAAGAAAAATTTTCGGGTAAGATCTGTGTGAAAATAAATTTAATGTATTTGCTCGTTAGACCTGATGTGGCCACTGCGAAAAAATTGCATGCCCCTCCTCTTTGTCTTTGTTTTCTGAACACAATGACATCCTTAGAGAAACACCTATTTCCTCTGTCATTGGAGCGGATGAACTAAAAAGTAGATAATTTCCTAAAATGGATGGAAATTCTGCGATAAAAGGGCCAGCTTGTATTAGCTAATTAGTACAGTTTGATCTGCAGGCGGGTATCCCGGCTGAATAATCCTCTTACAAAGGTTCAAGACGTTCTTCACGGTTGCAACATGGATCTTAAGATCTATAAAGGGCTTGGTATGTTGGCTCTAGCAGAATCTTATATCTTTTAGCTGCATGCATTATTGAGTCAATGTTGTCAGTTAGTCAAACGACAAATCTTCAGCTATCCTTTTCTCAAGAACACAAAATACTATCATGTTGGCTCTAGCAGAATCTTGTATCTTTAAAGTTGCGCGCTTGCTTCAAATGTTATTATTGAGTGCTGACGGTCAGTGAAACGACAATCCCTTCCTCAGGTACACAAGATGGTAAAATGAAATGAAAAGGAAAGAGCGTTAGACTTGCACGCCGGTGGTCTCAAACTAAGTCCCGATCCACACTTGTACAGATTGTTTATCAGGGATACTTTAAACTTGTGCCAAACAATTTTTTTTCAGGTGTTGTAACTGGAAAATTCTACAACATGCATCAGGATTGGTCAAAGGCTCCAGAATGGGTGAAGGAACATTATAAGATTGAGGAGCAGCAACATTGTGGTGATATTAGTGAGTAATCCGCGACTAGTTTATTTATTTTGCTTTGTAAAAGACATCCATCCTCACAGCATTAAAAGTCAAGTTCTTGCGGTGCTTGAACCCAAACAGATTTGTTTTCAGCCCATCAATGACCACTGAGCCTAATTAGATGTAAAATTTCACTCTTTTCTTCTATTTTCATGCAAGCTGTGATAAGATCTTTTCTCAAGCCAAACCATTCTTTATCCAACCAGATGAGTCAAACAAACAAATTTGCCTTTCAGGTCACAAGCCAAAATAACTGAAATGAAGCTCCACTCGTCAATATCATTTCATGAGTATTAAGAGAAAAGAGAAGCCTTGAATTTACTTAAGGCTTTCATACTTACCATAATGGGACCTTTAAAGCCCACTGTTATTCAGTGCTAGACCCCAGTTTGGTTTTCTTGGAACTGTTTTTGCCTCAGTTCATTCCGGCCTAACACTACTAACACTTTGAAAATGATATTAATAATCCTCCTTTTTAATAATCCACTTTTTTAATGTCTTAAAATGCAGCCAATATTCGACAAGGCGCCATAAAGGGAGTTGTTCAGGCAGTCGGTGAATTTGCTAAGCAAAGTCCATTAGACGCAACTCTGATGGGTAAGGAGATGGCTAAGACTGTGGGAATTACAGACCAACAGGGGTTCGCGTTTTCTTCTGGATTCCTTCAAACTGCAAACTTGAGTCAAAAATGATTGAAAGGTCATACCAGTTCAGCGGTTACATTTCGAGCTCACACATGATATAAAAACTGTTTGTTTACCTTAGTCACGGTGCGAAACAATTTTAACACAAAAAATATGGAGTGAGGTGTACTCGGGTAAATTTTAAATTTTGATTTTCATTTTTTGTTTCAAGAATGTCGGCTCCTAATGAGGTTCTTTTATAGATAATATATCGAAAGTGTATTGCAAACCCAATCTCTTAACGAACACCAGTCTTTCTTTAATAACAAACAGTCAGCCAAACGAGAAAATGGAAAAAATAGGAACTCCAACGTATGTACTCCAGGTAGACGTTTCTGATCTCAGGAATAAAAGACACACACTCATAGGAGATTTTGTTTGTTTCTTCCTATCTTCTCTGTCTTCGTTACCAGTACCAATCCGTTAGGAAGACCTTGTCTGAAACATAACTACCGTTAAGAGAATACATTTTCTTGCTAACATTGACTAAAAACGTAGTTACCCTTGCCTGCCCCCTTGCCTTGACTTGATTGCTGAAGTGTTTCGGTTGAGAGATTTTCCATGCTCAAAGTCACCTTTCCTACTGACGTGTGCCTTGCTGACTAAACCGATTGTATAATATAACAACAAACACTGACATGCAATGTGAAGGCCAGACGTTCAATCGTTTGCTTTTATTGCATTTCGTTGCACATAATCGGCTTAATTCCTGAATTTGTGTCAATAAACTATGCGTTTCCTTCTCGTGCGACAGTCTAGAATCACTACCCTACGTCAACTAACTGGATTTTGGACTTGACGCGCGTTTAATATTCCCCCTATCTTTTCCACTTTTCTGTCGTATTCTTTTGAATACTTTATATTCCTTCATTCCTTCTTGGGTGATCAGTGAAATGAGTGAATAGTTTAGCCTGTTTCTTCGCAGGAATAATGAGATTTTCCCTTGGGTCACCAAAATGAGCAATATCGCCGACGTGAATAATTTTTAAACTAAAAGAAACAACAGTAAAAGGTTATTGTGGGTCCAAATGCGTACTAGACTGTTTTAGGTGTATCATAGGAAGGACTTATCTATATGTCATAGATTTGGCCATTTCACATGCCTTTAGCTCACTTGACTTCCGGTCCAACTGAACTGCACGTTTACTATTTGAATCTCAAACGTACCTTTACAGGAACGTACACAGGAATGAACTGTTGAGCGGTTCGATTCAATATCGCTTCAAGTAATTGAATGACGCATCTTTGGACTTTGTTTTCTAACAAGCAGACATAAATCACAGGATCCGAAAAGGGGGAAGGATGGGCCCATGCCTGTTCGGCGTCTAAGGTAATCTTTGTAAACAGGACGTCTTTATTTTTCCCGTTTACAACAGAGAGTTGCGCGAGCCTTGTTGACTACACCGACGGTCAATTATCATAGTGGCAAGTGCAGGCCTGACTAATTAACCAATTGTTTGCATCGTTGCATTTCAATTTCGCAAAATGTGTCATATCATGACCGGGGTTTATCCGCTGGAAAAATCCCTCGGCTAACAGAAAACTCTCCGGTCACAATTCATTTTCAAACAAAAGCAGAAACAAGGAATGATTGAATTCACAACTTCTTCATGTAAAATCATGACAAGAATGCAGCCATTTTCTTTTCCACGGATGAAGTTGAACCGAAGGAATGCATCGTCACTTAATCAAGAGTGCGGCTCTTTAATAAAGTTTTTGATCTTGAGTACATCAAGGGTCTTTGTATCTATGCATCTTTGTTTTTGGTTGTTTTTATTCCTTGTTAGATCTTCGCTGTTGGTAAATGACTTCCTTTATTCGTACTTGGAATATTTTTGGTCTTCCCACAAGGTAAAAGCTAACGGGAAGCTATTTCGTTTGACTCAAACACTCGGCTTTGAATGGTAACATAGAAACAAAAGTCAGTTTCAAGAATTAAAAAATTTCTAGATGTAAGGGCTAGATAATAAGCTGGCTGATTTTTTGGTTCAGGGAAGTGTTTTTTTCCCTATTGTATTTTCCTTGTTGATTAACCATTTGACCCCGAAAAGTGACTAGCATCTGATAACTCCTCGCAATACCATTCCTAACTTCACACATTAAGGTCACGAGAATAGAGGAAATAATCACCAACTATAGAAGCTCATGATTGCATAACAAATTCTCCTTTTCAACTCCAAAGGAAGTGAATAAAGAAGAGTATGAAGAATGTACATACTGATATTCAGGTATAAAAGGTTAACAAGTGTTAAAGCAAAGAGGCCAATGCTGCTTATCAATGTCCCAAATAATTGTCACTCAAGATGAATGCAAAGGAAGCTGATAATTGACATAAAATTTTGAGCCTTAATAGAAGGGAGGAAAATTGATTGAAAGTCTTTCCGTCTCGCACGAAAGAGTTTAAAATTCTTTGTGACACTGCTAATATTGAAAAAAATAAGATGTTATCTTTTGTGTATTTGTGATACGATCTTGGCACAAGGACTGCAAGAGGATATAAATTGTGAATAAAGGCTGATAGTTTCTAAAGAAACTGTTTGGGGCTGAGTCGGTGGCGGTAACGAAATAATTTGAATATATCAACAAAGTTGAAATGGTAAATTGGCCACCGTTACGATTATAGAAGCTGACGTTTCGAGCGTTAGCCCTTCGTCGGAGCGAATAGAGGAATTGTGGGTTGTGTGTGTTTTTAAAGGCAGAAAATGGTGCTACGTGATTGGTGGGAACATGGCAAAGAGAAAAACACGAATAAATTACTGGAATGAAAAGCGTTCGTTGATACCTGTGGGATTTAGACTGCCGGTTTGAAAGATGAGCTTTTGTTCAAGAGTTTTACGGCTTTCCGTGCTACCCAAGTGTAAGGAAAGATCGCAGATTGCCATATGTTGCTTAGAATGATTAGGTAAATTGAAATGTCTAGCGACTGATATAAATTGTAGGCGAGTGACAAAAATAATTGTGGCGCAAGGGGGCCTGGCCTGGCAAGCCGTGTGACTTTGTGCGGTTTGCAAAGGTATTAAGTTCTGAAGTGTTCCGCTTCGATCGTTTCTACTCCTGGACATGAACAATGCGGAGAAAATAAAACAAAACCAATTTTACGATGTGAAAGGATCACTGACATTTTATTACCTTATAGCAGTCCTTTAGAATATATGGTCACACAATCAGTCTTAAGCAACATTTATTTAATGAAATAAAAATCACCGTTTTCATCTTATCGATAAAAAAAAGGACTTACCCCAGCAGGAAAATCAATGCACAAATTAGAAATAGATAAGACCTATCGATTAACTGAAATTAACTTATATACTTAAGTTAGCTTTGCACTACTAGTGCCCCAAATCAATGCAGTCTGGGAATCTTCAGGCTTAAAAAAACAGGACAGACCTACATGCAAACTTTAACAAGCGAAATGAAAACCAGTCTTATTGAGGATAACCGATTCTGTACTTATTATTGTGATATATATTGTTCACTAGTCAAAAACTAACGACTTGTACCACACTTTTTAAAGTCCGAGAGGGTGACTTAAAGTTACTCAAACAAACTTAGGTGGCTTTAAATGCCCATCGCTCTTTATAAATGACGCTTAGACGAATCTAATCCGGCCAAAAATGATAAAAACCAAGTAAAAAATCCATTAATAATAATAAAACACTGTTAAAAGGACACAAGCCTTAAAAGTAAAAGTGTCCCTCACCCGTTTTGCAGTCAGCCCAAATTCTTTCTTCGCTATCTTTCTCTACTTTCAGCTTTTTATGAGTCAGATGCAACACAACATTATTTTTGACTTTCTTAAACTTTGGCTCATGTTCAGTTTTCCAGCATTTTAGCCATGTATCTGGCCCAACAGTACAAAACGCACATTTGGAGTTATCCTCGACATATTTGCCAGCATTTCGATAGGCTTCCTGTATTCCTTCGTTAACGTAGTTCTCCTCTAAGCTTGGTGCACCGCACTGGTCGGGTACATAACCTGGTATCCAAGCTTTGGAACGGGACGAACAGTTACCCATTCGCAATATCGTCGAAGGTCAGATCAGAATCTGTTGGACTAACAGGTTAAAATATTGAATTGGCTTTTTTTTAATGGTAGAGTCAGTACAACGTAAAAGCAGTGTAGCCACTGTTCTCTCACAAGTCTAATTGTCAAACTTTTTATTTGGCTTTACAGAAAGGATTTCTGATTGCGTTTCGTTTACTACTTTTTTTTCTTTAAGCAAAGATAAAATCATAAAAAAAAATTCGAGTTAATTCCCACTTGCTTTAAGAGAGAACCCCAGACGGATTGACGTCGATCGCCGCAAACGCTCGCTGGATGGGAAACTACAAGGGCAAATGTTTCATGAACATCACCACATTATTCTCGGCAAAACACAACTCCATAGGTCTGTTTAAGTGCAAAGAGAAAGTCGTCATTTGCCAGAAAATCTTTTTCTTTGAAATACATTTGCCATACTTACAGAGACAGAACTCACCTTAATAGAAGTGAAGCTATTCAGGCTCTCTGAACACCTGAAAGATTTTGATTGTGCAGTTTGATGTAGGGGTATCTATGATACGCTCCCTCTTTGACTCTCAAGGACATCTGATGTTTCAAGGCTTGAAGTGCAAGTTTAAATTTGAGAGTTTTGACGATCAAGAGTGATTGACATCTGTCCATCACTAACCATAAATGGGTCACTGCTTTCTTACTACACCTGCTGCGTAATGTGTTTTGACCTTGACTAAATGAATAACAAGATAGTTTGTGCCCAAAACATTAAGATGTTTGCCTCATTAGAAGCGGACGTAAATTCCACAATAACTGGACTCGCTTGACAAAACTGAATATTGAATAGATTGAATAGTGTCCAAAGTTGTTTTTATTCCTTGTTTAGATGTTGTAATGATGTAATCACTAAATGTCTTCTGTTCCTGGTTTTTGGAAAACCTTTTTAGACAAAAAAAAACAACATTTTTTAAAAGCGACATATCAGAAAAGTTTTCATGATGAATATAAGAAAAAGAGGCCTTTAAAGCAAATAAAACCAATTTATGGACTTACTGCTTTCAAGAGCGAGTCACAAGTTTTTGTTTTGTAAATTTACTTACTATCAATGGGGTCAAAAGATAATTTAAATCAAAACTAGCCGCAAGCAAAACTTACTACCAAAGAATGAAACTCACTATAACTGAACAAACTAAAAAGAATTGGGGCTGATAGTTTCTAAAGAAACTGTTTGGGGCTGCGTCGGTGGGGGTAACGAAATAATTTGGATATATCAACAAAGTTGAAATGGTAAATTGGCCACCGTAACGATTACAAAAGCTGACGTTTCGAGCGTTAGCCCTTCGTCGGAGAATTGGGACTTTCTTCACTAGAATACTCAGAACCGTCATGAATAGCTGGCGCCCATTACGTATTAAGATAAGAGCATCACCGCTGACCAAAATAAGTAAATCAGTAATTAAATTAAAAGCATTAAACTGAGAATCCTCACAAAAAGCACGAAAATTTTTTAGTTCTGACACGAAATGAGTAGTGCTAAAATTCTGGCTTTGAAAAGAATCGTTCTATTATTCTATTTTTTATTTCTATGGACCATGCAATATGACTCAGCGGATGAACATTCCACTAGAAATGGACCACTCGAATACAATAAGCTTGACGACAAGAGGTTATAAACTTTTGAATTAAACGTTAACATTTTTTTGATGGTCTATGCTATTTGAAAAGAACCCAACACAAATAAATTCATCTCTCGCGAGGGAATGTGGGAGCTTCGAGACTGAACCTAGAGCGTGCATCAAGCAGTACGATATCGCTGTAACAAAGTAGCTAAAAAATTGGCAACAAGGTACTTGGCAACCAGCAATGTGTAACTAATCCTTTGTTTTCTTCCGAGGACAGATGTAAATTCCAAGCAAGTCAACCCGTTCCCAAGGTCGCTAAGATCACGTATTAACAGTTACAGAACAACCTGTTATTAACCTTTAAGTCCCAAAGGTGATCAACATATAAGTTCTCCCTATTATAACATTATTCAGTGAAGAGATAATGTGAATACTCAAACTAATCAGGTACAAGTTATCTTAATTTAACTCCAAATTCTGGTAACTAATGGACAAAGAAATTTGTAGCAGCTCGAGGGGAGATTAACAATCAGATCTTGGGAATTATAGGGTTGCAAGTCGCTAAGAACACGTAAACAGTTACAAAACAACCCGTAATTGTTCTTTCTTTGTCACGACTAATTAGTTCTTCCCTGTTTTCATTTGTCATTTTATTTTTGATATCACTGCGAAATCTGCTCTTTGCAACAACCAACGAAACTGGATAACCTCTAAGAACACTATACACACTACAGTGCTGCAATACGACATACAACTATTCTGGTACGTTGAATTAATAGACAAGTTTTGAGAATAGGGACCATTAAAACTCTTCAAAAACTACTTTATTCCCGATCTTTATCAATAAATTTAATTTTCCAACGAAACCAGTAACATTGGTCCGCTTATCATTTTAATACCGTTGATGTTCCTGATATGATGGTACTATCTAAATCGCATGTGAAACCAGAAGCATATCATGATTAGTCAACTATAACTTCAAATAAAAAACCAAAATTCAAACCATTCTTTTAATTCCAGCACGCACATACAAGTGTTTGCTTCAGCGCACTTTCATACACGGAAAAATTAGCCAATGTTGACAAATTTTACCTTTTTGCAGCTGTATAAAGGGGCGTTCTTAGTTCAATTAATTGACTCAACCTTAAAAACACCGAAAGGTAAGTAAATTTCATTAGCTTTCAATCTTACTGTATCATCTTTCTTTCTTTTTTTCAATTACCATTGCATTTGGTTCTCTTTGGAATTTCGCAACATTTATAAGTATGCCCAAGTTTATTCACTTTTGACTTGGTAGTGAAGTTGAGCAGGAAAAACTTCGAGACGTACGTCTTCTCTACAAAATTCTTTAACCACGATGATTTTCTAAGTTTTTTCACTTTAATCACAATGTTTTATGGTTGAATTAAACTGAAAGGAAAATTTCTTCGTCTAAGCATTCTAATGTAGGCTTGCAATTACCTTGAAACTCACTTGAGCTTTCACTGCTTAACATTTACGCTGCACTTTTCATTTTAAACAGTAATAACGTCATGCAGCTTTGGATCTGAAACGAATCGTTTGTCTAGTTTTTTGAATAACATTGGTGAGTCATCTACGAGTTTCTATGTGTGGATCAATACAATTTGCAGAAATAGTAACGGTATTGAATGGGAAAATTGTGTGAAGGTTGCTTGTGATTTTATGATGTTCTGACATCCTCAACTACATGTCACATTTTATGTTTCCACGAAATGTTTCCTCTGTTTTTACTTATCTCTTTTACATCACCGTGAATTTCTCTTCTAGCTAGGCCGCTGTGGTCAACCGGCATTCGAAGTTTTCCCACCGGGGTCATTTAACTTTGATTGTGGTAAATAACTTGGATTTTAAACCACGTAGTGAGAAATAATGTACGAGTCCTGGAACTTATTTTTACTAGCCTTACGGAGAGAGGAGTTCTCGGCAAGATAAGAATGGTGCTTTCACAAAACTCGTCGCTTCTTATCCAATTTTGTTTCAGTTTACAACAAACCAACAAAATAATAATAACTTTTAGCCCAGTGGGTATAGCACTGCGCTGGTATCATAGAGGTCATGGGTTCGACTCCCGTACAGGCCTGAATTTTTTTCAGGCTTGATTTTCACTACCACTTAAGTACTGTTCATTACTGCTCAGAACGCTCTTTTATTTTTTTGTCAGTTCGCGAGCGGGCAGTATTTTACAAATCCTGCGGACTGATTGGTTCCGAGAGCGGGCAGTATATTCTCCAATCCGACCCGCTCACAGAGGAAGGTATCCTATGCGTTGCGTCGCCTAGTACATCCTTAGCTTCGTTGCAAAATTTCATAAATACATTTTGTTTTACCGGCTAGTCAGCTTTGTAAGCAGAGATTTCGGTCTCTCCCCTTCCTCTGTCTCAAATAAGAAAAAAACTGATTTAGTGCCAAACGTGTTTTTTTTTAAATAGATTGAGATGCGGCCTATAAAAACGTTTGTAATTCGATAATCCTGCTCAAAAAGTGACTAAGAAAGGTATTTGCAATTTAGTTTTATCAATCCAACTTCCGTTCGTTCAATATCAGAATTCTTCAAAACAATTTTTTCGTCGTAAGACATTGAATGAAGAAGGTTTGAGTTCTACTATATACTGATAAACTTTCGCTAATTCTTCGCAAGCTCCAGAAATTTGGATATTTCCACCAGACATTTCACAACAGAAACCGAAGCAATTCGATGAATAAAAGTCGCATTACATCCCCTTGTGTCTAGCTAGAAAAAGCGTATCATTCGACTTCAATTTTTCGGTGGAAGAAAGATTTCACAGACGCCATTGCAGTAAGCAAACAAGCAAACTCTCACAACCTCAACACATACATTTGAATTTATTTCCAATTTGACTTTCCGTGACATTAAAAAACTGAACAGAGGTAATTCTTCGTAGATTAATCATCGTTGGAAGAGAACAAATTTTTTCCGTGAGATAAGTGAAGATGAAAAAGTCACAGTGATAGTCATTTACCTCGAATTCACTCGCTAAAACAAGGACCTTGTCTTTTTCAACTGCAGTGTCAGCGGGTTTAATTTTTTTCTTACGCGCTTTCTAATTGCCAGGTGTCAGATCGTGACAGATGCTTATAAGAAAATGTTTCAATATTTGCTTGGTAGCCTTTTAATTCACCATTTATCAATACGCAGATAAAACTGTTTCAGTGAAGCCTCTCTTTTTAAATTGCATTACCTCTGTTTTCTCTTTCATCTACTCGCTCAAAAATTGTTCCGTTTGTGAAGGATCGTGCTATGAGTTACAGCCCTAAGTTATTCGGGTTCTTTTCACAAGGATCCCGTTAAGTTTAAGAAAAAAATTAAAAAAAATATCATTCACCATCCTAGGTCGGTCCGTATTAGGAAAAACTATGCCCTCTGTCTTGAGTACCGCCCTCGGCTTACGGCCGCGGGGGGTATCCAAGACCTTGGGCACAGTTTCTCCCAATTACGGACCTCCCAGCTGATATTTCAAAAGATATTTCAATCGTTTGATCCTTCTCATAGTCAGTTTTATAATTCTCAGGAGGTATATCAAGCGGTTTTTCTTCAGGAGCCACCTAAATGTTAACAATTTTATTTATTTGTTTATTTCAACTTCACCACATAACAACAATCAAAATGAATAAATAAAAGAAAAAATGAAAATCAATGAAAAAAAAAAAAAATATGGCAGCTACACCGCAACAGCTAAGCCAACTACAGGGGGCTCCGAATATGAAAGAAAATAAAAAGAGAAAAGAGGAGAACAGAAACTATTAATCAACATGCAGCAAGTAATCTCAGAATTTAGTGGACGGACAGTATTACATTTTAGACAGACTTAAAGGTTCTGCGATTATTCGGATCGTAAGATATAAGTAAAATGGCCAAATAGTAGTTAAATATTACGATCTTTACTGAGTTCAGACTTTGGGTTTCAATGTTAATAATACTGGCTAAAGTGTTCCAAATCCGACAAGTTTTGGTGAAAAAAAGACCTTTGAAAAGTTGTAGTTATGCATTTTTCAATATGTAGTTCAGGTGACACCCTTGTGTTCTACCGTGTTCTTTGCATGACATACTCGGCATTCGATATGTTTAAGGTGGCCGAAGGCGGTTTGCACGCACTGAGCTATAACTCGGGAGGAGGCATGCGCATAAATGGAAAACGTAACTCGGAACCGATGCAGCGACAATCTTAGTTATGCTCCTATTGAAGTTCTATGCAGGCTTATGATTGTTCATCCTAAAATGGCTTAGTAAACTCGAGAGATGAGTAAACATACTTCTGTAGTTCAAACATGATGAGATATTCCAAATCGTATGCTATATCTGAAATGAAACTGCATAATTAGACTCCCTACACATATAAAAATCAATGGTCCACCATGAAGGCTGATCTCAATAACTACCGCGTAATATTGCATTCGATAGGTTGTAATAAATATAGGACTGCTAACGGTTGACTACTCGAAGGTGTCTCGGGTCGTTTATGTTCACACCTGTTGCCATGATCTGTTCCAGTTCGAACCGACATCTTGCCCAATATCTCTATCTAGTGTAAAGTAGTTCTGTATTGCCTCACCCTTTAAGTTAGAAAAGAGAGTAACTTCTGAATTGAAGGAACTGTAAGTTGTGCTGTATCGAGTTAAACAGCTAGTAAATCTGAACTTAAAGATCAATTTGGTCCCACATAAAGCACTGGCGACGTTTCAGAAGAAGCCATCATCCCACTAATTACAACTCTGTACGCGATACATACTAATCAGTGTAAGTCTTTGTTGTTTTTGTTTTTGTGTCAGTTTTCCACAATTTTTTTTGTCTGTTTATTTGACGAGCTTCTTCTGTTTTAAGTAGTCTTTAGTGGTTGAGGTGCTGTAACTGGTTTTGACAGGACTAGGGTGACGGCGGCAGTTAGGTCGTGAGAGTGCTTTAACTATTCATCTTCATCAATTTCCCAACGTCCAATACTGGTTTGACGTAATCTTCCTCTGCCCACAAACCAAAATGTAAAGGTAGACAGGAATTCGCTTACAGAATCACCCGTTACTTTTGCCAAAGCGCAAACTTGCTTTCCCTGTAGATACACTTGTCGTGAGTTTTATCTGGAGATTTCAAGCTTCAGCCTTTGGGTGGTATTCATCTCCCAGAGACCCTTAAAAAATCACAGTCGGTTAGAATGTCAATGTGTGCGATAAAGATCTTGATCATTGTCATGTTTGTTTTTGTTTTTTTCTGTAATTTTTACATCTGGTGATTGCACACCTATTTGTCGCTCCCTCATGCTCAATAATAAGTAAAAAAAAAAAAAAAAATGTGTGATAAGAATTAAGCCTTGTTTGTAAGCGCATTATATTAAAGAAATTATGTTTTCCATTTATTTGCACGTAGGACTCTATTGAAAGGGCTTAACATGGCTAAAAGACAAGGAAAAAAAGAAATTGCGGTGCGCGAGGAAGAAGAAAAGCATACAGAACAGATGAAAATGGAATTAGAGGATGAAATATCTAAACTCCCTCCAGACAATCCCTCAAAATGCGAAGGTCTCATCCGAAGGTTGTACCAAAAAATTGACGATCTTAAAAAGCAAGACGTCAAAAGTGATCTCCTGAATCAGCTACGATCTGTCTCATGCTATGGATTAGATAAGGAGCTCAAAGACATGATGGAGAAAAATGGTTTGGAGTTCGAAGGACTTGAACTCGTGGTACACTACCTAACAAACAAGACAGAACTTGCAAAATACTTCCATGTCAATCCTCAAGAAGTTGTCGACAAAAATGGCCTGAGTGTCATTAAAAGACGACTGGGACCAAGTCTGGAAGTGCTTGGTGGCTTGAGCTCCAAAGGAATTGATGTTGAACAAGACTGGGTCAAGGGGTTGGTTAAAAGGGCTCCATCTCTTCAAGCGCTCAGTCGTATCTCCGCCAAAGACCTTGATGAACTTAAAGCCAATCCTGGTGAAAAGAACGAGGTTAACCGCTTGTTGAAAGCTGAATTCAAAGACACCGATTCTTCTGAAGCTGAAAAAGCTGGCACAGAGAAGAAAGCTATAGATGAAGAAAAGCTAGAAAAGGCTAAGGAGCTAATGAAAGAGGCAAGTGAAAAGGCAAAAGAGGAGTCAGAAGAAGCAAAAAAAGCAGTAAATGAGAAGATGGCTGAAATTGGAAAACTCCTTCAGCTGCCAGCTGATTGGAACAAACAGGAGACTGGGAAAGGCCCTAAAGAACTGTTGGGTCAATTGAATGATATAATTGAACAATTCGACCTTGCCTTAGAAGTTAGCGAGAGTTACAAAAGCGATCTTGAAATAGTTCAGAAAGCCAGTGGAGGCCGAGCACTCTGTGGAATCTATCACTCAGAGTACGACCCGCCAAAAACGGCTGAGGGACCTCTCATCCTCGTGCCCACAGAGGTAACACTTGGTAGTCCAAATAACTCTCAGCAGATCAATTACCTGAAGTTCTCAGAGAGCATGGCTGCCTCAAGATACACTCAAGCCGTAAAATCGTCAAGCACTAATATTGGGTTTAGTGTCGGTGGTTTCCTGGAACTTTTCGTTGGAGAAGCTCACGGTAGCTACGCCTCTAGCTCCGAAAGTCAAACGGCAAGCACAGTAAAGACAAAAACCAGTAGTGTCTCTGTTCTGCAATATGTTTGGATTGCAACCAAGACGTTCAAAATAGAGCAAGAGCAGATGAGGCTGTCCATGAGTGCAAGGAAGATGGCAAGGTCCATTATGGACGCTACTGAAGATAAGAGAGCTGAAGCAGCTCGTCGATTCATGAATCGCTACGGAAGTCACTTTCCAGCCGGTCTGCACTCACTTGGCGGTGTCCTTTTTCGAATTGTAGACGCAGAGAGCAGTGCGGAAATAGAAACGTCTGTCTTCACAGAGAAAGCAGCGGAACAGCTTCAAGGGCAAATATCGGTTGGCTTCCTTGGAGCAGCATTTGGAATCGGAGCCAGCATACGCGGTGGATATAGAAAAGCTAGTGGTGAGGTACACGCGGAGGAGAAGAAGGCTGAAGCTGCTTCTTATAGGTTCTCCTTCCAGGCCATGGGTCCAGCAGCCACAAACCCTACCACGTTCACTAAGTTACTTGCAAACAACTCTACCTGGGCTTTAATTGATCGTGGTAGTTCTCAGGCTTACATACCAGTTTGGGAACTGTTAACAGACCTTGGTGACCCTGCCTTCGCAGCTGCAGCCGGAGTCCTAGAAAAAACTTGGACAAACGACGAGCTGAAAAAAAGTAAGAAGATTGCTCGCGCTGAACACAAAATATACGATCTCATCAGGGGAGACCTAGGAGTGATGACAGATGGTTACATAAACAAGGTTTGTTTGTTTTACTTTTTTTAAATGTTTTTCGCAACCATCCAAAATCTGGCTCGTATAAGTTCTACAGCCTTCTGTGAGACACCAAGTGACTTCTTTCATGAAGTCGTTTTTCAATTTCCTTCGAGGGAAATTGAAAAAAGTATCGGTATTATTTAAAGAATATTTTGAAAGAGAATTGAGCTAGGTTTGTCTATAACAGCATTGTTGTGGTTATTGGGGCTGATTGTTTAAAACAAAACATACAAACGTTTTGCATGCCATTTTTAACAGTTAAATCTGATTTTTTTAAGAAATATGCACCCGAACACCAGAAAAGTAAAGTGAGCGAGTGAGTGATTTTTCTGAGAATGGGATAAAAAATCTTGTGTTTTATAAGTGCTCCTTTCTTTCAAATTGTGAAATAATAAATAGTTCTCTGCTTATACTTTTTTGGTTGGCTAAATGATTAAACAAAAGTTATGCAAGTAAGATGTTTAGTCTGATGACCTTTAATGAATGAGACCCGAAGCAAAAATGTAGGTAACAAAAGTGAAGGAATACATGTAGAGAGATTCCTTCATCGGAAATAGCAAGAGTAGGATCAACAAAGTTGAAAATCTATAACTTTGTCTCATGAAAATCAACTCATTGATCCTTCTCTAATGTATTTTTGGGTAAAATTTGGTGCTACCTTAAATCATAGTTAACTCTGCTTAAATGTAATGATCACGATGATCTCAAGTTATTCATGGTCTCTATATCCATACATGTCTTCCAAACCCGAAAAAGTGATCATGAGACTTTTTCATTATGCAGAAACCAGATCCAAAGGGTTACGGACACAGGCCAAAAAATGCTGCTCAACTGACACTTGACTTCCCAACAATCAACTTGTCGCGTGCAGATGCCTACACCAAAGCTGTAGACATCATTATGGAAGATCCAAGGTACCGTATTTGCGAAATTGCTTGGTGTGTTGGAGATTTGTACACATTATGTTGTTGGCAGGCCACGGAAAAGGCAGCAATGACCTACAAACAACTCAGTGGAGAACATGTCCTGATCTACAGTAAAATGATATTCCGGTGGAAAGATGGAGTTCCAACTGTCGATTAAAAGGTGTTCTTATAAAATTGAAGGTTAGAGTAATCAGGCAGCTTGATTGGTCGTAGTACTCTAATCCTGAGTAAATACGTGTAACGTAAGTCCACCCCTTTTTGATCCTTCATCAAAATGGCGGCTAAAGTAGAAATCTATTTTATGGAAAATTAACCCCATAGCCAGTACCGCAGAAAGTGTTCAACATTTGGATGGCAAACAACCAGAGACAGCCTGAGACTTTTGAATGCCCCCTCCCCCCCTAAAAAGAGATTGCTTGGGGTAATTTTCTGAATTTTAATTCCTTTTTCAAGGCTGCAATAACACTTGACTAAACTAAACTTTGTAAGATTTCAAAACAAGGTTATGAAATGATAGCCACCCATTGTAAGATTGGTTTAAATTTTCTGCAAAGTTTTAATTATTTTGAGGCTTCACTTTCGACTGCTTTTTCGGATAAGGGTCCGTTGATATAAAACTGATAAAACTCTGTGGGATTACCAAATAGATTAAGAGGTATATGGAGTGAAAGTGGTATGATGCAAAGTTTGATAATTTGAGATTTTACTTTCGAACGCCATTTTAGATAAAGATCTGTTTTTGTAACAGCAGATTAGTTCTAAGATATCTCTTGCAATGCGTGGGCTGTATTGACTCCAAAGGATAGCAAACTGTGCCAAGTACTTCTTCTGAAAACATATACAATGCAATATATCCTAGTTAACTAATGTTTAGAAAATCAAGTTTTTCTGTTGTATTGTCAAAGAAGCCAATGAATAAGTTTTGCAGTTTTTAGCCAGACTGTTAGTAAGTATGTGGGGCTGTACTTTTCCTAGTCATTATGTTTACTTCGGGGGTTAAACCAGAATGATGAAAAGCTTATTTAATTTGTTTTTATACCCACAAGCTATGGAGTTTGATGTAATCCCCTTCTCATGTCCCCCACCCTTTTACTTTGGAATTTTCAAATTAATATTTTTATCATTATTAACACAGAATTATCTTGAGTGGATGTTGACGTGCTATTGGCTTGGAGTGAAGTTATGATTCGAACACAATTTTTGCGTTCTCTTTCTTAATTCTTTGGATCCACTATTTAGCTAGGTGTGATGTGTGATGTGTGTGTAATTCAAGGACGGGTCTGCATTTTATAACCTCTGTTGTTTCCTAGAAATTACAAATAGAAAAATTTGGAGTGCATTGAAGGCCTTTTATCAACGAGAAGCAACAGACATTTGTTTGGAGTTATTTGTCTGTTAGAATGCTAAAGCTTTTCAAGTTCTTCAATAAACCAGTAGTTAGATGAAGGACGCAATAGGTGTCTGTGCTAATGACTAGTTTCGTGTAGAATTGTGAAATTTCAGAGAAGGTAAATGTGTTTACTGCCAAGTGTATCTATACAATACTTAAGTAATATCAAAAAATACGTTTGCTTGATTGGTTCAGTATTTCTTAGTTTTTATCCATTTTGACAAGAACGGTTTTCCTTCATTGAAAATTAGTAGAGGTGAATCAAGTGTGTATTTGATAACTGTATTTTACTCTTGTTATTTTTCATTCAAAATTTGAGTGTGCTGAGAGTCAGATCCTAATGAGTGTTAAGTCAGAATTTGTTTTGGGAAGATCACTTTCATTCAGTGAACCGGGTTTACTACTCGTAGGTGGTACTGAAATAGATGAATACCTGTATGGTACTGACATTTGTAAAAAAAGGGAAGAAATTTGGATTACAGCAAAGTTTCACCAGTTGCTCGTTCCCTTTCCCAGGCAACACCTTTTTGAAAGGGCTCCTGTCCATTGTTTTAGTTATGCTTTGTAACTAATGCCACATATAGAAAGTTTGAACTAGGTGAACGCCAATGGGAGGGTCTCAATGGGGGGGCGGGGGTGGGGTCACGTTGACGATTGAAAATAAGCTCTTTTGACGGTTGACAGTTAAATTTTAGGTCATTTAACGATTGACAGTTTATGTTTTTGCAATGTCGGTTATAAAACGAATTAAACGCCCGAATTTAGCGCGAAGAACTGTTAATTTATTACACCTTTTTTTTAATAAATGACCAACGTTTTACGACACCGGAAGTGTTTCCACACCGGAAGTCAGTTCTGTTGCTAACCAGTTTTATTCGCGACTAGAAGTTAAAGAACTTTCATCAATATATTTTTGTGATATATCAAAACTTTTATAAACAACAGAACTTGACCCCAATTAAGGCAATCGTTTAGTTCTTAATTAAGGATATCTGAGACATTTAATTTGACGACTAATATTGGCTTGCTTATTTGACGGTTGTCGGTAAAAATATTGCGTTTTCACGGTTGACGGTTAATATTTTGGCCATTTGACGATTAACTCCATTGAGACCCTCCTATAGCGAACACTGAGGGTTGTCAGTTTTCAACTCTGCCCTAATTTCCTCTCTATAAAATGTAACCAAGAACTTAACGGGAAATAAACTGACTCGGTATGTTCAAGTTTTATGCTTTTATGGTCGTTTTATCCAATAGTATTACAGGAAAGTTTATTTACCCCCTCAAATAACAAACAAGAATAATATGTTCTTATTGACTGCGTGGGAAGGCCAAAGGGGAAAATATTTGGCTCCCGTGCGTCATGAACGAGAGCCAAGTATTTTCCCGTCCAGCCCGACCTAACTCAGTCAATTGGCATTTTATCATACGACCCCGGACAAGGTTTTGAAAAATTCCATAAAGTTGTTTTCTTTTAACTTAAATAGGACGCGATAGACAGGCGCGCGCGGGATAACCACTGAAAACGACTCTACCATAAAAACTTTTCCTTTATTTTTTCGAGTCAGAATCAGAAAGTTTCGGCAAACCGTAGAGTTTCGGTGGCTGTGGTACCGAGCACCTCAGTCGATAGTACAGTTGGGTGTCAAAGGCGTTCGTTTTCATGTTACCCTACCGTACTTGCGAAATTGCTTGGTGTGTTGGAGATTTGTACACATTATGTTGTTGGCAGGCCACGGAAAAGGCAGCAATGACCTACGAACAACTCAGTGGAGAACATGTCCTGATCTACAGTAAAATGATATTCCGGTGGAAAGATGGAGTTCCAACTGTAGATTAAAAGGTGTTCTTATAAAATTGAAGGTTAGAGTAATCAGGCAGATTGATTGGTCGTAGTACTCTAATCCTGAGTAAATACGTGTAACGTAAGTCCACCCCTTTTTGATCCTTCATCAAAATGGCGGCTAAAGTAGAAATCTATTTTATGGAAAATTAACCCCATAGCCAGTAC